CGTCCGATTTTGCCTTTTATTGTGCACCAAAAGTGTAATATTAGCCAAAATTGGATGTAATTTGGCATATACGACTAAATTGAGTCTAGAAACAAATATTTTAAATTTAGTAAAAATGGGTTCAGATATAGCAATAGCTCCCATATATGTTCATCCGATTTGTTAAATGTATTCTCCACTGGTGTGATATTCACTCCGTAACACCGACATTCGGGGAAATATATCAAATATAGCTCTGAAATACCTCTGCCAAATATTATCGAGATCGGTTTAGATTTGGATATAGCTCCCATATAAATATATATATATATATATATATATAAATATATATATATATATATATATATGTATATATATATATATATATATATATATATATATATATATATATATATATATATATATATATATATATATATATATATATATCTTTATCTTTATCCGATTTTAAGTTAATTATGCAACAAATATGCATAGTGGTATAGGGTAAAATAAAGTCGGCCCGCCAGACTTTAAGACTTACTTTACTGAAAAGTGCAGTACCTTGAAACCTCGTTATATTAAGGGTGCTGCTAAACACGTTGGATCCGATAAAAATAATGAAAATAACAAGTAAACCAGTAAAGAGAGTCTTAAAGTCGGGCGGGGCCGACTTTATGATACCCTACACCACTTTGCTAATTTAGTAGAGCTCCACATAACAATTAAAAGTTTTTATGGGAGAGTTCAATCAAACACGCTGTGATTAGAATTATAATTTAAAGTTCAAAGAACTAAATATGCCGAAGCATTTGTATCTTTTAAATTCGGACTTGTATTGCCCATTTGGTGCACAATTAATATGAAATCGGATAAAGATATATATGGGAGCTATATCCAAATCTGAACTGATCGCGATAAAATTTGGCAAAGACATTTCTGAGCTGTATTTGATATATTTCCGTGAATATCGTTGTTGCGGAGTGCATATCACGGTTGTGGGTAACAAATATAACAAATCGGATGAAAAATATATATGGGAGCTATACCTATGTCTGAACCGATCTTCACCAAATTTGACATACTAGCTTCTAGATTCAATTCGGTCGTAAGTGCCAAATTCCATCCCATTTGGCAAATATTAGACGTTTGGTGCACAATAAAAGTTAAATCGGACGAACTTATATATCGGAGCTATAACCAAATTTGAACCGATCTCGATAAAATTAAGCAAATGTATTTCTGAGCTGTATTTGCTATATTTCCACAAATATGCAGAGATATGCACTCTACGGCTGCGGAGGACAAAAAAAAAAAACAAATCGGATGAACAATATATATGGGAGCTATAGCTATATATAAACCGATTTCGATCAAATTTGGTATACTTATTTTCAGACCTAATTTGGTTGTATGTGCAAAATTCCATACTATTCGGGCTGATATTACACGTTTGGTGCAGAATAAAAAGCAAATCGGACGAAGATATATATGGGAGCTATATCTATATTTTGACCGATTATCTCCAATTTCAATAGTATTCATCCTTGGGCCAAACAAATGATCTGTGCAAAATTGTATCTGGATAATAAACAAGAATACATGGACAGACGGACCGACGGTCGGACGGACGGACTGACATGCATAAATCAACTCAGAAAGTGGTTCTATGCAGATCATCAAAAGGAACTATGGGTCTATCTCGTTTTCTTTTGCCTGTTACAAACAAGTGCACAAAGACATAATACCCTGACCACTTTGTGGTGTAGGGTATAAAAAGCAGGAAAGATCGGCCGGGCCGAACTTAACTTGACTTGACCATCGAAAAATACCGCTCAAATGAAACCTGTTATATGGGGGCTATGCTATATCGTGGACCGATGTATCTTCAAACTTGACCTGTTTGCAGACAAAAGACTGATATGTGCAAAAGTTAACTTCCTATCTTAATTTGTTTTGACTCTAGCGTGATTTATGTGAAGATCATACCTTTTTCAATATTTGCTATCTCTGCTGTGTTTATAGGGACGTACATGCATAAATCGACTCAGAATGTAATTCTATGGAGATCATCAAAATCAACTACGAGCTTATTTTGTTTAATCCTCTATGTTGCAAACAAATAACAAAGACTTAATACCCTGTACTACAGTACGGCGTAGGGTATCAAAATAGTCAAATCTAAAAAAACTCGACTCTGCATGCCTGTTCTGGTTTAAAGTTGATGTCAGCAAGCTTTGTTTAGTCTAAGATGATGTCTTAATGTCGTATCCACGTTTGAAAACTTGAATAATCTATTAAGTCAAAAATGTTTGCAGTAAAAGGCAATTTAATTTGGTTCATTGACTTCTTGAGACAATATTTATGCAGAATTGTTTCGAAAATAAGTTATCAGAAAAAAACTAGAAAATAAAAAATATATATATATTAAAAATTTTGCATTTTTTTAAAATCCAGAACGCAACGCAAATATATTACGTAGAAATAGAATTGGGAATTAAATAAAACAAATACCCTCCACCTCCAAAAACATTGTTAAATAAACATATGGATTTAAACGTATTCCACTTTAAATTTTGTTGAAAAATGTAGTTAATGTTTTCAAAATAAAATAAAATGGGTGGACATTCTATGGGGTCCATACCAAATCGGGAAGCAATATCGGATGAAATATATATATGGGGGCTATAGTTATACCTGAACCGATTGTCACCATAATTTGATGCACTTGCTTCCTTCGGAAGTGACAAAACTTAGTCCATTTGGGCTGCTGTTTACAATTTGGTACACAATAAACCTGGAATCGGATAAAAATATACATGGGAGCATATATATGGGCGCCATAGCTATATCTAAACCGATTTCTAAGCTGAATTAGTTTAGAAGTGCCACAATTTACTCCATTCGAGTTGTTATTAGCCATTTGGTGCACAATAAACCTAAAATCGGGTATAAATTGATAAAATTCGGCAGAGGTATTTCTCAGCTGTATCTGATATATGGTGCCAAATATCATTCTTGTGTATTGTTTATTACGAATGCGAGGGACTTAAACATTAAATCGGATGAAACATATATGTGGAAGCAGTAGCTATATCTGAACCGATATTCTCCAAATTAAATGTACTTGCTTCTAAACTAAATTCAGACGGATGTGTCAAAATTTGGTCATTTTTACTGATCTTGGCCATTTGGTGCACAATTAACCCGAAACCAGTTGAAGATATATATGGGAGCTATATCTAAATTTGAACCGATTCTCAATTTCACTAGGGTTCGTTTTTGAGATAAGCAAGTATTGTTTGTAAAATTTCATCTCAGTCGGATAATAAATGCAACCTTCATTTTTTCACAAGGATACAGACGGACGGACTGACTTGCATATATCGACTCAGAAAGTGATTCTATGAAGATCCTCAAAAACAACTATGGGTCTATCTCTCTTCCTTCTCCGTGTTACAAACAAATGCACAAAGACATAATACATTTACCACTATGTGGTATCTATATCTATAAAAGAGGAAAATGTTTGTATGTTTGTTTGTTTGTAATTTTCGCCTGAAAGTAACATAGGCTATATACATTTTTACAATTTCCACTTGGAACTGGAGATATAGCATCAGTATCGGAGGTACCTCCCAAAAATTTAGATTTTATATGCACATATCTATTGATTGGTGTAAGATACAGTCTCCGAATTTGGAATTTGAAATAAGTTCGTCAATTTATATTAAAATCGGTTCAGATTTGGATATAGCTCTCATATATATTTTCGACAGATTTCATGTATTTTATGCACCATACACGATATGTATGTTCGATTCCAAAGAAATTTGGAATATGTAACGGGATTGTGATTAGAAAATAAATTAATCAAATTATATTAAAATCGGTTCAGATTTGGATATAGCTCCCATATATATTTTCTCCGCCGATTTCACATATTTGATGCACAAAACACGATACGTATTTTCCGATTCCAATGAAATTCGGCATGAGTGGCTAAATTTTGTACAAAAATAAATTTGACAAATTATATTCAAATACGCTCAGATTTGATTATAGCTCCCATATATATACTCAGCCGATTTCACATATTTGATGCACCCAAAGCCAGAGAGACAAAATCTGGCACGAGAAAAATCAGTTGAAAATCATATTGAAATCAGTTGAGGTTTGAATATAGCTAACATATATATTTCGGCCGATTTCATATATGTTATGCACCAAACACGATATATATGACCGATTCCAATAAAATTCAACTTCGAAATTTGGTTATAATAATAAATGTGATAAATTAATTGGAAATTAGTTAAGATTGGATATAGCTCCCATATGTATGAAATAAATAAATCCGAAGGACAAACCCTTCGTGTATGTATGTCATGTTACTGCTTTTCTAATGCTTTTGGTTATTTACGCATTAAAGTAGTGCAATAATTTTTTTTTAATTTTTAAATTTGTTGTTTTTTTACCAACATATATTCGTAAATAAAATTTTGAATGCGTATAAAATCAAAAGGGGTAGCGAAGCGCACCGGGTTCAGCTAGTAGGGTATAAAAATAAAAGGCGTAGAAACAGTTTGCAAGTAAACAAATTAAGGTATTCAATACCTTTTTCAATATAAATATCTTTATTTTCAATCACCTCTTTATCATTGTAATTTACTTTTCAACGTTGCTTCAAATAAAATAACAAACAAAAACAAAATGTTTTACTCATAAACCTTTCATGCGAACACAATGTAGTTCAACTAGTTTTTTAATCACAAGCTTGATGTTCTTACCTACATATGTTCTTACATACATACTGCTCTTCTACGATCAACACGCTTTAATTATTCACAAACATTATTCAAGATAGCCTTAACTGACCTACCGTCTTCAAATTGACAAAGGTTAAAATGTCTCACACGTGTTCAATGTTGGCAACATAAAATTCTAAAAAACAAAACAATTATTAAATCTAATTTATACTTGAGGCAATTATCAAATACTTTGTTTATTACTTTTTTCAGCATTTATTGGTTCAGCTGATTACTGGGTGTTGGATACGGACTATGACAACTATGCTGTGGTTTACTCATGCACCGATGTTTTGGGTTTATTCAATGCACGTAAGTATGAAAATAAAATAAAGCAAAAAAAAAAAAAAAATACACACAAATAGGGTAAGTGTGCCTAAGTTCGGCATGTCCCAGTAGTCGGCACTTTTTATTTTTAAGCCCAAATAAATGAAACTATTATAACTAAATGTATTTTGTTTACTTCAAATGTATTGTCAGCTATATATGTGTACAATTTCGGTAAGAAAAGATGATTTATTCTAATAAAAATTAAATTTTTGTCTGTGAAGGTTCTCAACAATCCATATTCTTAAGAAAAGTACAATAAAGACGTCGAATCAGTTTATCTAATCAAAAATATTATATTATAATGAATTAATTTATTATTATTATTAATTATTCTTACAAAAAAATTGGTATGCCGACTGTTGGAACATGCCATACCGACAATTGGCAAGTGGTGCCGACTACTGGCAAAAAAGCATTGTTTTAATAAAACTACAAATTTATGAAATTTAATAAAAAGTTATTAAAACTTTATTTATTATTGCAAAAACTATACAAAATTTCGAATCTGAATAAATTAACTTTGTAATAATTGAAAAGTTCCACTCAGAATGGTGAGCGATTAAAAACGCGAAAATCCTAAAAGTGCCGACTACTGGTACACTTACCCTATAATAATGCTGGGTGAGATCTATGAATGGGCAATTGTGTGAATGAAAATACATTGTTGAAAAGAGTTGTATTGGCCTCTGTATGAATGAAAATGAAAATAATACTTAAACCGTTGGAATTTGAGCGATGAGTAATACCGGTTTTCTGTTTTTTTTTTTCATATGTGCAATAAAACAGTTTAAAGTAGTAATTTAATTGTTGTTATGCATTACAAAATGATCGGATGTTTGATTTGGCATGCACTTTGATCGCACTTAATGATTGTTAGTATTAATTGTATAGACTAAGGTCGGTAGACCGAACATGTATTACCCTACGTATTTTCGTATGCAATATATAAACAAAAAATGACTTTTCAATCCATGGAAAATTATTTAAAAATTTCAATTTGTCCTTCATTAAAATATGTAGTTATATATATCTAATGCTTATTACTCTTCTGATTGACTTCTGTCCCTTAAGTATTCTAAACGCAATGTAAATTATACAATTGAGTGTATTCAAAAAAAGTGGACTCTCGTTAAGAACTTTTTACATTTTCCAATTCTTCCGGATAAAATTAAAATCAATAAATTCAGAGAATTACAGTCAATTAATTTGCATGGTATAGAAATAGCAAATATTTATATCGGAAAGTACCGATATAAAATGGCTATAGAAAAGGGAGAGTCTGGGGATAAGTAAAACCAAAGTCCCACAATTTTATTTATGCATTTTGTGTTTGTTCCGAGGCGAGCTTAATGATCTGAAATTTGCAGTGAAAAGGAAAGCCAGATAGATACTATCACATACTCAACACTATGCGACGCGTTTCGCCGTTGGTTAAGCGGCTCATCAGGCATATTTGGTGTGGATGATGGCTTACAAGGGCCGTTCTCTGGAAAGTAGTATTTATTTCGAACTTATTGCGATTTAGCATATGCGAATTAAACACTAGAAACTCTCCAAGCTCGACTCAAGTTCTATTAGCAGATCTTTTTCACAGCAAAGTTTTCACTGCAAATTTCAGATCATTAAGCTCGTCTCGAAAGAGAAACAAACACAAAAATCATAAACTTGTTTTTGTTGTCTGATAATCGTTTTAGATAAGGATATACCTCCCATGTCTATCTTCGTCGGAATTCAAGTCTATTGTGCTTTCGGACAAGTATATGAAATTTGATAATTTCGTACCGTTCGATTGGTTCAGATTTGGATATAACTTCGATATATATCTTCGTCCCATGTATAAGAATATCGTGAAGAAAGGCTGACAAAATTTTTGAAAATCGAAAACCTAAAAAATTGTCTAGCTGACTATTTGAGAGCTTCTGTACATATTTAGTATGCTTATATGTTATTTTGATAACAAAATTTCACAACTCAAATTCTTCCAAATACCTCTTTTCCAATATGTACTAGTAACACCGAATAAAGGGAGGAACCGTTATATGGGGCTATACGGACCTTATAAAACCTTACTTTACAAAAAATTACCTCTATCCTTTACATGTATATCTTATTTAGTATAATTTTGTATATTTCAGTACATAGTTTTAAAATGACCCCAAAATCAACATTTCAAAGTTCCATTTCCATCTTTTTACCCAAATCCAATTTGAAACAATTTAGTACAGCTCTTACACTCAATATACATTATACATATATATATATATATATATATATATATATTGAAAATGGCCCATGTAGGTCCACGTCTTCGTATAGCCCCCATATAACGGTACCCCACGATATTCGGTATTTTGATGATTTTAGTGACATTATTTACCGGAACTATTTCAAATTTGGCGTCTGAAGTTCGTAACGGATACTACAGTCTATGGCAGAAAATTGTTTGTGCAGATCCACTTCTTCGTATAGCCCCATATAACGGTACCTCCCGATATTAGATATTTTGAAGATTCTGCCTATGGCAGAAAATTGTCTGTGCAGATCCACGTCTTCGTATAGCCCCCATATAACGGTACGCCCGATATATACAGTCCACGTCGTCGTATAGACTCTAATATACGGCTACTTCCGGTATTTTTGAGATTTTAACAGAATTTTTAACGAAGTTTTTTTTTTTGGAAAATTTGTATCAAATTGTGAAGGGTATTCAAAGTTCGGCCTGGCCGAAATTACAGCTTTTTTAATTTTTTTTAAATTTTATTGAATGGAAACAAAATATATCGGAAATAGGATCAAATTTTAGAATAAATTTAGATTTGTTCGAATTGGTCACCTTTGGCACGAATTATGGCCTTCAAACGGTCAATGAAACCATGACACGCTTCCCGAATAAAGAAATCATCTTATCACGCTTGAATTCCATTACGAATAACTTTTTTCTGAAAAATGCTTTTGTACGCGTGTAAACAATATAATGAGCTGTCACTGGAATAGTTTTAGCAGTTGTCAGACGATTGGCTTAGAAATGGCAGTAGTCTGATGTTAGTTACAGTTTTTAATCTCATCTGTCACAACTAATCCCCTCCCCCCCAACTAAAGTTCGGAATTCACCCTCTATATGATTGTCCATTAATATGGTAGTACATTTTTGTACTCTTCCAAGCCTTTTCTCACCTCTACATACAGGCATTGACGTACAAGAAAAATTCAAGATCCTAGCTTTAGCAACTTCGTTTGTCTGCCGCATCGGTTCAGTTTTGGATATAGGTCCCATATATATTTATCTGAAATTTTAATGATATATCAACTAAGCTACTTTCATCGGATAAGGTTGAATTTTGTTCCAAACAACCAAGATCCGACTAGAATAAGGTCCGATATTTTGTACCAAATCGCCTCAGATATTATTAAAGCTACTTCGTGGAAATCAATTAAAACCACGATATATATATATATATATATATATATATATATATATATATATATATATATAAGTTCTACCCCTACAAATAACATTTATATTTAAAACTGGCTACACTAAAAACATACGTAGAAAAATCTTTCTTCTAATCGCGTTAGCAGATCTAACTTAATATAATGCTGATGCATGGTTTAGGGTATAAAATACTGTTTCAGAACAACAATAGCCGTTCCTCCCCTAAGTATGACAAATAACACGTTATTCGGTGTTGTTCAACAATGGGCGATATGCAGTAATGAATCTGCATTGGAACTGTCTAGTAGAGTAGGGTTAGCAAATAAAAACACGTTTTTGATGAATGCGTATTTCGTTTGTCGTTTGGTATTGTTCACTATTCACTATTTTTTATCTGTGATGTAACGGTGAGCCGCAAATTAGCGGCAATATAATTGTTTTGCATTACATTGTCGTACTTTATTGTTTCTTTGTTTTTAATTTCTACAAAAAAAAAAAAAAAAAAAAAAAAAAAATATATAATAATAATAATGAAAGAGAAATGAAAATCTGAAAAATCATTTTTGTAGCTATAAAAAAGTAGAGTATAGAACATTTTTTCTAATTGTTGATTGAGAAACATTATGACGTTGTCAAAATTTTCTGTATCAAAATCTTCTATTAAATCACATCACTTCGAAAGGCCATTTTCCATTCATTAAAATCATAACAAGTCTTTATCTGTCGCTTAAATCTTTAATTTGTCTCCCCTTTCCATTCTTTACAGAGGTTGTTTGGATATTAACTCGCGAACGCAGTCCCAATCCACAGTACATTGAAAAGGCGCGCAGTGTAATCAAACAAAATGGTCTGTCACTGAAACCCCTACAGAGAACCAATCAACAGGGATGCTGAACCAAGTAATCCGGCTAACAAGAAATCACACAAAAAACCAAAACGGTTAACAATGACAAAGTTTAAAATTTAATAACATTGTAACTTGTGTAATATCCTGATAAACAATAAAAACCCAATGAAATTACAATTACTCTCACTTAATTACATTACCACCAAAACCGACAATTGCAATTACATTGCGAAAACAACAGCCAGGGGCTAACGCCGTTTTTAAACTCTCTCTCTCTCTTTCTCTCACACGCACGTACACTCACCGGATTGTGGCATTGTCTTGAAAGTTTTAACAAAAAGTAAAAAAATAAGCCCAAAAATGCCTGGAGGCTGGCTACAATAGTGGCCGAGAATTAACGGAATGTTGCTCGCCGAATGAATTTAAATGCTTTCTAAAATTAACTGCCTTTGGTGTTTTATTTAGCCATACTAAAACCAGTAAAGAAAGTCCTAAAGTCGGGCGGGGCCGATTTTATGATACCCTACACCACTTTGCTAATTTAGTTGAGCTCCACTTAATAATTAAAAGTTTCTATGGGAGAATTCAATCATACACGCTATGATTATAATTATAATTTAAAATTCAAAGGACTAAATATGCCGAAGCATTTGTATCTTTTAAATTCGGACTTGTATTGCCCATTTGGTGCGAAATTAATTTGAAATCGGATAAAAATATATATGGGAACTATATCCAAATCTTAACCGATCTCGATAAAATTTGGCAGAGATATTTCTGAGCTGTATTTGATATATTTCCCTGAATATCGTTGTTACGGAGTGCATATTACGGCTGTGGGTAACAAATACAACAAATCGGATGAAAAATATATATGGGAGCTATAGCTATATCTGAACCGATCTTCACCAAATTTGGCATACTACCTTCTAGACTAAATTCGGTCGTATGTGCCAAATTCCATCCCATTTGGACAAATATTAGACGTTTGGTGCACAATAAATGGTAAATCGGACGAAGTTATATATGGGAGCAATATCCAAATCTGAACCGATCTCGATAAAATTTAGCAAAGGTATTTCTGAGCTGCATTTGATATATTTCCCCAAATATTGTTGTTACAGAGTGTAAATTACGGCTGCGGAGGACAAAAATAACAAATCGGATGAACAATATATATGGGAGCTATAGCTTTATCTGAACAGATTTCGATAAAATTTGGTATACTTATTTTGATGCTTAATTTGGTTGTATGTGCAAAATTCCATACTATTCGGGCTGATATTACACGTTTGGTGCACAATAAAAGGCAAATCGGATGAAGATATATATGGGAGCTATATCTAAATTTGTACCGATTATCTCCAATTTCAATAGGGTTCTTGGGTCAAACAAATGTTGTTTGCAAAATTTCATCTCAATCGGATAATAAATGCGACCTGCATTTTGTTCACAAGAATACATGGACAGACGGACGGACGGATGGACGGACGGACAGACGGACTGACATGCATAAATCAACTCAGAAAGTGATTCTATGCAGATAATCAAAAGGAACTATGGGTCTATCTCGTTTCCTTTTGCCTGTTACAAACAAATGCACAAAGACATAATACCCTGACCACCTTGTGGTGTAGGGTATAAAAATTGCAAATGAATTTTCATGAGAGTTATTTTGTAGCTCGGACGTCTTTTGTTGGATTTTCTTTGGTTTTGCATTTAGAAAATGTTAATGTTTTAGAGACAACCAAAAATTAAACTAAAAATGTCAATGTAAAATTAAGACTTTGCAGACAATTGTTACATGGTTCATAATGACTGTGTTATTTAAGTGTGTATGTATTTGTGTAAATAAAAGTGAACACAAATATTATTTTGAGGAAATGCTTAATATGAACTCCAATAAAATTGAATGGGGAATATATGATATTCCAAAACCTGAATTCATATTTAGCAACTTTGATAAATACAGTTAAGACTTAAAATGAAGGGAACAGAAGACGTGGAAAACAGGACCCTGAAAACTAATAACATCGCATTATCTTTTGTGAAGGTGTTGTCTATACACTGACAATCTTTTACACCAAATCCCAGTTATTTTATTAAGGTTACATCAAAAAGACCAATTATGGTGAAAAGGGTATTGCAAAACTTAGTTTCAAAACAAACCTTTGATCCAATGAGAGTCCCAAATGCCAAATTAGAGGTAATTCGCTTTGAAACTTTGAATGAAAACTTAAACCAGTAAGGAAAAGTCAAAAGTCGGGTGGGCCGACTATATGATACCCTACACCACTATGTATATTTAGAAGAACTCCCGTAAAAAAAATATCATACCACCTATCAACATTTGGTTTTAGAGCATTTATAGTTTGGTTTTAGAGGGTACTAATATATGGGAGGCATATCCAATTCCGAATCGGTTTTCATTTGGGATGATATTAGCCACTATTTGTACAATAAATCTGAAATCGGAGAAGGGATATGTATGGGAGCTTTATCCAAATCTTAGCCGTTCTCGATAAAATTTCGCAAAGCTATTTCCGAGCTCTATAAGATACCTGGTACCATATATCATTGCTGTCGAATGCATATAACGAATGTGTGGGACTTAAACACCCAATCGGATGAAATATATATATGGGAGGTAAAGCTATATCTGAACCGATTTTCTCCGAATTTGGTGTACTTGCTTCTAGACTGAATTCGGTCGGATGTACCAAAATTCAGGACTTTTGGGCTGATATTCGCCATTTGGTGCACAATTAACCCGAAATCGATTAAAGAGATATATGGGAGCTATATCCAATTCTGAACCTATCTTCATAAAATTTGGCAGAGGTATTTCTGGGCTGTATCTGATGTCTGGTACTAAATATCATTCTTGTGGAGTGCATATTACGAATGTAAGGGACTTAAACACCCAATCGGATGAAATATATATATGGGAGTTAAAGCTATATCTGAACCTATTTTCTCCGAATTTGGTGTAATTGCTTCTAGACTGAATTCGGTCGGATGTACCAAAATTCAGGACTTTTGGTCAGATATTCGCCATTTGGTGCACAATTAACCCGAAATCGGTTAAAGAGATATATGGGAGCTATATCCAATTCTGAACCGATCTTCATAAAATTTGGCAGAGGTATTTCTGGGCTGTATCTGTATCAAATATCATTGTTGTGAAGTGCTTATTACGCATGTGAGTGACTTAAACAACAAATCGGATGAAACATATATATGGGAGCTATAGCTATATCTGAACCGATTTTCACTAAATTTGATGTTCTTGTTTCTTGACTGAATTCGGTTGGATGTGCTAAAATTTTAGGGACTGATATTGGCCATTTCGTGCACAACTAACCCGAAATCGGTAGAATATATGAAAGCTATATCTAAATCTGATTCGATTATTACAAATTTCAATAGGGCTTGTCCTTGGGCCAAACAAATATTGTTTGGAAAATTTCATTTCAATCGGATAATAAATGCGACCTGCATTTTTTTCATGAGAATGCATGAACAGACGGTTGGACTGACATGCATAAATCGACTCAGAAAGCTTCTTTCTCCCTGTTACAAACAAATGCACAAAAACATAATGCCCTTACTACCATGTGGTGTAGGGTATAAAAATCAAGTAAAAAATTATCGGTCGGTTTTGCCTACAGATGTGTACCCTCAGCCCTCTTGACCCTCTTTGGAGTGGGAAATATGGAAAATATATTTAGGTATATCAAGTTGTAAAGAATCGCTGAGATATTGCGCAATTTATAAGAGATAAAATTATTTAAAATTGTTTCCCTTTGTGGGTGAGTTACCAGAAGGGGTTCGCAGATTTATAGCATCTTCACTTTGAGCGTTATGTTTTTCAAAATCTTGAATCCTATGTGGATCAGGTAGCAAAAGAAATGGTCAAATCTCATTATAATTGATCTTGTGTTGATGGAAATAATGATATTTACCATGTCTGGAATGGAATCGGATGTTGATTTCGCTTTTTATGAACTTCATGGATAGTCAAAATTTTGAGCGTTTGTGGGGGAGGTACCAGAAGGAGTGGACAGATATATTCCGATCTTGTTCATATTCCAGATTTTGGGTTCATAAAAATGGTAGGATGTGTGAAATTTGAAGATAATCGGACTCTTACATCATATTTGTTAAGAGTTATTATTAATCCAAATTATTGACCCTTTGTGTGAGAGGCACTTGGTGGAATGGACCAATAATATCCATTTTGGCACCTGACATAAAACTGTATTACAATTAGAGCAAAATTAGATTGATGCTTCCCTTTCTGTGCAGACAATATATATTTTTGAAAATTTCGACGATTTGTGGGGGAGGTACCAGAAGGAGTGGAAAGATATACACCACCTTAACACCACACTTAAGGTTGAAATAAATATTGGGATGTGTGAAATTTGAAGACAATCGGACTCTTACATCACATTTAATAAGAGTTGTAATTATTCAAAATGTTGACCCTTAAAGGGGGGGGTGGTTACTGGATGGAAACGGACCGATATTGTCCATTTTTGAATGTTGACCCTTTGAGGGGGGATACTGGATGGAATGGACCGATATTGTCCATTTTTGAACCTGACGTAGCACTGACGCAAATATTAGGATTTGCAAAATATATTTTATCTTAACACCAGATCTTGGGTTTACAAAAAATTGAGATGTGTTACGTTTTAAGACAATCGGATTCTTTCATTACATTTCATAAGGGTTGTAATTATTCAAAAATTTGACCCTTTGTGGGGGAGGTGCCAGAAGAAGTGGACCGATATATTCCATCTTAACACCAGACCTTAGGTTAATATAAATATTGGGATGCGTGAAATTTGAAGAGAATCGGACTCTTACATCACATTTTATAGAGTTGTAATTATTCAAAATGTTGACCCTTTGTGGGGGAGATACTTGATGACCTAGCACTGACGCAAGTATTAGGATATGCAAAGTTGGTGCAAAATCGGATTATCGCTTCTCTTCCTGTGCAAAAAATATATATGTTTTAAAAATTTCGAACTTTTGTGGGGGGAGGTACCAGAAGTAGTGGACCGATATTGCCCATCTCCGAACTCGATCTAAGTTTGACAAAAATGTTATGATGTACAAAGTTTGGACCAAATTGGATACTCCCTTCGAGAGTTATCGTGCGCACT